AAACCACAGAATTTGCATATCAATATGGCAAGCCCAACCCAAAAATAAGTTAAGCTAAAGCCCACAAACTCATACAGAGCAAAAAAAAGATAAACAGACGTCGGCACTGCCAAAAAAAAGGGAAAATAACTGAGGAATTTGTATTTATACAGTTGCCAGGTTTTGGGTGTAAAAAGACAAACAACAGCGGAGATGGTAGGGAAAAAAGAATAACAAGACAACAAGTTCCAGGAGCCCAAAGAAATGCAAACAACAAACTGGCAAACTAAAAGCGCATTTCGAAAATCGAAAAGACCCCAAAGAGCCACAAATATGCAACCGCAACAAACCAGCTCAAAAGCCACGCCCACTATGTGTGTGTGTGTGGGTAGGTGTGTGTGTGTGGGTACGTGTGCGAGTGTGTGTGTGCGTGTGGCAAGCGAGATAAATGCATGGAACGCGCACAATTAAATATTCAGAGCGAATATTTTTTGTCGGTTTTCGCCAGTTGCATTTCAGTTGAGTACCAACCACGCAACCAACTAACCAAAGATAAATAAAAATAGCAAACGGAGCTGTAGATACTCTCTTCTATTAAAAAAAAACCTACTTCTTTGGGTATGCCTACTGTATAACTTAGTTTTCAGATTGTCAATTAAAGTCTGCCAAGAAAAGATTTTAAAGTATTTCCTTCAAAAGCTTTTAAGAGTTATGCCTGCTATATAACTTACTTCTTTAAAGTGTAATTAAATTTTATCATAAAAATATTGATAATAATATTAAAGTTTAAATATATCTATCCTTTTTTTACTTTTTTGCGGTATCACTGAATTCGTATTGAACCAATCTGGTTGAATGTAAAATGCCCGAAGTAAAAAGTTTCTTTTCAGAATGTTGTTTAAACACGTCGGGAAGAATATGCTCTCACCAGAAGCAATGCAGTCGTTTCATCAGCATTTTGGATAGGTTACAAAAAAGGTGTGCAATTATTTATTCAGCAGGCGAAAGTTCAGGTACTTTTAAAACTTAAACTCCGAATTTAACAAGTGGTTATCAACCAGAATAACTGGTATCTGCCGTATCTGAACTAAGCAATACTATGCATTATGCTTTAAGGATCCCTGTTTGTGCAGCACCAATTACTCCTTTGTAAACGATTTTCAATCCCAAAAGCTTAAAAAGACTTGCAATGAATATCCTTTTCGCGGGCTTTGTGGCCAATCGACTGGGAAAGGGGAAAACGGGACCAACAAAGCTGCTTGCGGTACATGTGAAAAGAGTTGGAAAAGCGGAAAAGCAAGCAGGCCCAGCTGTCAAAGGAACAGGTATGCCCGTGTGCGTCCGGGATCTGCATATAGGAAAAGGACTCCGAGCTGCTGTCAGAGGAAGGGCCTATCCCATGTCGATGGCGACAATGATGGCGGTGATGATGATGACAGCGATGGCGTGGCGGATGCGGTTTCCGCTTTCGGTTTGCGGTCCAAGGCTGGAGAAACGGACTTCTCCAGTCTAAGCTGTGTCCATTTGCCCTTATCAGTTGTTAGCATACACATTTCGGGTACATTTCTGGTATTTGTGTATCCATTTTGTGTGCTGAAGTTTTCCCATTTAAATGGGACAACTTCCTGGCCCTTGAATTGACACTGGCCCACCAGTTCCGCTCAGCCCCCTCAGCTGCCAAAGGGAAAAGTTACTCGGCTGCATTTCCTGCTGCAAAATGTTGCATTTCCTGCGCTTCTCTGGACACTGGGCAAAGTTTTGGGGCTAAACTTATTTTCATGATTAAGTGGGCCAGTCAGGGGCGTAAAGCCAATGAATCGACTTCGCAGCAAACAGGTTTAGCTGAAGGTCCTATGAGCGCACATGGATATGCAATTATCTTCCACACTGCTTAATGTTTTAATTGCGTTTTGCTAAGAATCCTTGAACCGGCATCTCCATATCCACCTAGCCAGCTCAAAAGAGACTCATATTTTCATTATTATTACTTTTCCAGCTCTGACAATGAAAGAGGGTCAAAAATATGCACGCACACATGGGCACAAACAGAAATAACCGGGGGGGTACGGGGATGCCGGGAGGTTCGTCCAGTTTGCAGTTGCACCAGGGCGTATACGTAATTTGCATTACAATGAACTCAACAGACCCCCCTTCCCCCGCCGCCCGTCGTTCATTGCTGCAAGGTGTATAATTTTGATAGCAATTCTACAAAGGCCACAGGACTGCGGCTGGAAGGGGGCTGGAGATGGTAGATTGGGGGGGCAGATGGAAAGTTGAGGGGCTTGGTGAACGCTGCATTTCAATTGGAATAACAATAATTGTTTGCAGCAGCCACAGCAACAGAAACGCCCCCTCTCCCCGTCCCAAAAATCCCCCTTGCCCCGCACATTGTATTGCTTTGTTTTGTGGCCTGGCAATTCTTGCTCTTCTGGCGCTTTCTCCTCCTCAATTTCTCCAACCCCCCCCTTACCACTTTCCCCGGGCATTCACATGGAAATGGCAAGAGCGGATGTTGAGTGTCAGTGACTGCCACGCCCCCTCGAATGGCGCCTCCCCAGACGGGCTATCTAACCTTTTGTTGCTGGGAAAACCACTTGGATCCAGTCCAACTCATACGATTGCACAGAAAACTCTATGAGCAATTAAATACAAAACAAAACAAATACATTTAAGTAGCTGAGAGAAAGTATCTATTTAATTTATTATTTTAGAGATGCAAACAATATGTTTAAAGCCTCTGCACAAAATGTATTTTTTGGGGAAAAAGATTTCACACAAACTAAATTGCAAAAATCAAATGAAGTTCGAGTTTTCTACACGTAAATAGTGTACAGCAAACAAACCACCTATTTCCAACTCGCTTAAGCTTTTCAACACATTGAGCTCAATAATTTAGTAGCTTTAAGAGAGATGTTAGGTTTCTTAAAAATGTCACTTAATCTTGGTTAAGCAGTTTATCGCTGCTCATCCCAAAAAGTTTTTCCAGTTCCTAACCCCTTTCGTACCTCTGGCTGAGAAAATGTTTTTCCCCACTTCACGCTCTAAGTGATTTTCAATTATGAAGCGCGACAGTTGAAGGTAGAAGTGGGGGTTCGGTGGGAGGGACAACAATAGCAGCTGAATTTTCAAGGTATGGGGATAAAGTTTTACCTGACGAAGGGGAATGTAAAAAATGTATTGCATAAAAAGTTTTTAATTGCCACGTGCTCTTAGCCAAAAAAAATCTACGACGAGAAAAAGGGGGAGTTTGTTGCAGTAATTAGTTGGGCCTGCTTCAAGCTGCAAATTAAGCCATAATTATGCACAGCCAGCGACACTTTGAAGGAGTTGACTGAGCCATCAAGGGGCCCAGTGCCACTGGTACTCCCCCCTAAACCCCCAACCAACAAAACCCCAACCCCAGGCATCGCAAAGTCTAACCACAACAATTGGCCAACAAGTTGTCGCTGGTCAACAGTTCATGCAACATCAACACCAAAAAAAAAGGATACAAAATATTTGCTTAAAACATAAAGTTGGTCCCCGGCGAGGAATTGAGCTGAAACGCGTGGGAAAGCAACGAGTTGAGTGAAATGCAACATGGGAACAAGTGGAACACTCCGACTTTCTCCCTGCAAAAAGGACTCGTCGAGGAGCAACAAGATGGAAAGGCGCCGACAATTGCAGCTGCCTTGTATTCTCGGATTCCTGGATTCCTGTATTCTGGTCATAGACCATTTTCCAGCATTGTTATGCCAGATTGCTGGTGATGGGTGGAGGGGGTCGGGTTGAATGGGTGACAAGTGGGCTGGATGGGGCGGACATGACTGATAAGCGTGGCAGCGACGCTGTCAAAGGTTGTGATTGATGCACACAGGTTGTAGCTGCTGTCAGGACAGTGGACATTAAGTGCGAAAAACGATCAACTGCAATTGAGCTGTGTTCTGGAAGACAAAAAACAATGCAAACAGGTTAATAATAAAAACCATCAAATTTACTCGTATTTTTTAAAGCATGCTATTGCATACATATCAATTTGATAAACTGCAAATCAGTCAACTTAAATACATATTCTTTCATTAGAAAAAAAACAAAAAAAAATAATGAATAGAGTTCATGAATGGAGTGATCTAAAAGGAAATAAATTAACTTATTTGTTCTCGAGTGGAAACCCATTAATTTATATGTTTAATTCCAGGTTTATAAATGTAACTATTTTATATATCAACGAATTGTATGCTTAAAGTTAAAAACTAATGCAACAGAAATAGGCAGCCATAGCTTCTTAGGCTTTAGGCTGGCTTAAATAATATATATAAGTAATTAATATGTTATATTACATCATCAGTTGGCTTACTTTTTTTTACAGGTAAAAAACGATTCTTTGAAAAAAAAAGTAATTCTAAAATAGGTAAAATGATTTTGTAAGGCTTGTCAATTTGAAGTTTGACGTTAAATTCATTACGGTAAGTAATGATATTTTCTAAAATATAACTATGGACATTTAAATATAATATCTAAATAGTTATTATAATTAATATAAATGATTAGTTGTTTTGGTACGCAGTTAAATATGTGTTCCTTCAATTCCATAAAGTAAGTTCTATGGTTCATTTTTCATGACTGACTTACCAAGGCTCCACTGTACCATAATTGCTGTTGGTCTTTCACCTTTGCCACTGTCGGCGCACTAACTGTAAACGATGTTTTCTCGATGAAGCTCAACTGCAGGCAGTCACACATGCACACGTGCACGCGCACAGGTGCAAGGACACTCACCTGGACACATACCAGCGCACCCAAAGAAGTGTGCGTGTGTGGGACCTCGTTTCTCAGCAGGAGGTTTGTTTTCCACCTAGCCACTAATGTCTTTTTCTTGCTCTTTTTTTGCCGACCGCCCACTTGGCCTTTGGCACTTTGTCAATGCGCAAACAAAAACGAATTGCACACAGGATTATCGAGGAACACACATACGCACAGGTGCGCCCACTGTCCCACTCACCTTTTGCTTTGCATTTCATGGCTGCCCATGGCTTTTATTCCTTAATCAAACAGCAGGAGGCCCAACAAAGAGTGACTTCAAGGAAATAAAAGAAATCATTTTTGTGGTGCTATAAAAAACACCATAATAGTTTTTCAGAGCAAAAGTTACATCGCTGTTGTTGATTTACGGTCGATTTGTATTCTTAGAACTTAATGGAGTGGTTCCTGTGTATGTCTATAAAGTCAAACAATTTTTTATGACAGGCCTAAACTTCCTATAGTAAAAAGTAACTATTTGTGTAGAACTGTCTGGCGGCAATAGTATATATTTTCTAGTCAAAAATGGAAGAGGATCATGTGGTAAACATTGCGGTTCCGGAGAAGAAGCCATGTGGCGGAATCCAACCGCCGCTCATTTACCAGAAACTGATGGTGGAGAACCTGACCATGATCCGACCGCCCATCCTGAAGATCTACTACTGGGAGAGCTTCGACATCTCTGGGTGAGAAGGATATCAAGAAGAGTTTTACCTATTCCTAACTACTTATATTTCTCCAATATAGTCTGAATAGAAAGCTGCGCTCTAACCGCGTAGAGCACGAACACACTTTCTCGGTCCCCATCCGCCAGATCCACAGTCACCCCCTGAAGATGGTCTTTTGGCTGCGTAACCTCTCTCCAAAGAATGCCACCTTGACCCTTAAACGAATCCAGAACTGCCACTGCCAGCCTCTGCAGACCCAAGTCGGATTCAACCAGTTTCGCCAGCTATTCCACTGCCCGCACCGCAGACTGCTCCACATCAACCAAGAGATCCTGGCCATTAAACCAGACGAGGTGGTGGCCCTCACTGTCACGGCCTTCTTCTTCCTCTACGGCGAGCACCTGCTCACCTACGAAGTTCAGTAAGTCATCGCAGATGAAAAAAGTTACATAAGGTTTATAGTAACTTGCATAAATAACTTAAATTATTCATTTCTTTCAGCACCGAAGACAAACGCAAGTTTCTTTGGCACTTTCACCTGGAGATCTCATCCTTCGACCCCGAAAAGTGTCTGCTTTCCAAAGAGCTGGTGCCAGTAAACATAAAAAACTATTACCATACAACGCAGCCTTTGTGGGTGCAGAATATCACGATGTCCCACTTGTCGTTCTCGTTCGCTTCGAGGGATCGGGGCCTCAAACTGCTCAATATGAATCTCACCGTTCCACGACAGAGTGTGTGGCCCCTCCTGGTGGACTATCGACCACTGGACTACGAAAATGAGGTATACTTTAGAATTTGTTATTTGTTAAATTGTGGTATTATGTCTTATGCATTTTTAACAGGCAGAAATTATCATGTCCTTTGATAATGTCAAGGCTCGCTACAAGATCAAGGCTCGAGGTGTCCTGGCAGACGAAAAGGAGCAAACGGATATGCCTTTGAAAGAACGCGAATGTGCGGACTTCCTTAATGTAATCTATCCCAATAGGTTGAGTTTTGAGGTCTGCCTGCGGGAAGATCGGACGCAACTGGTCAATGTCCACAACTACGGACAGAAGTGCATGGAGTTCCGCTGGCAGAGGTAAGATATACTTGAATTCATCAACTTAGTTAGGTTTAACTTATATCCGTTTCAGTTACATAATCAACGAGTTCTTCTCGGTAGTGTTCAATCCACCAATTTTCCGGCTCAAGGGCCACCACTCCAAGCTGTGCGAGATCAAGGTGTCCGTGTTCGAGCGACTGGTGCACTTTCGGCGCATTCCCATCGTGTTGGAGGTGCACCGCATCCTCGACCGCGCCACCCTCATCGCCAAGCAGGAACTAGAGGAGGTCGAATCCATCGACGACCCAAAGTGGAAGGAGGACAGCTATGTGGAGCACGTCTATCTGCACCTGAACATCCGCAGTACTCTGAAGCCCGCTCTGGACACCTCCGAGGAACTGGAGCCCGGAGATAGAATTGATCCCACGGCAGGTCCTGAGCCCTGCTCACAATTTGGTGCTGGAGCAGGCGGGGGAATAGGATCAGGAGACGGTCCTGCGCCACCAGCTCCGCAAACCGAAGAGCAGAGAAAGGAGGCCGAGCGCAAGGAGCTGATCTCCCGACTGGTGGCCAAGAGCAAGCTCAACTCCAACGAGGTCATCGAACTGAGCATGGCCATCGACCAGCGGATCACCATTTTCGAGAAGCTCTTCTGGAAGTATCTCAGCAAGTCCAAGTTTATGCGCATCAGCGCGGAACGCAAGCGGCAGAAGGTGGTGAAGACCTACGAGCAAGTAATAGCGCCCAATGACACTATTCCTCCGGAGACAACCACGGAAATTGATCGAAAGTAAGTAAATGATTGAACCTTATATAACCGAACAGTCGAAATAATAACCTTTTCTATTTTAAAGTATTTTATAAATAGTTCTGAATAATACTTAAGTTTATTGTAAAATATGGTTGAAGTGTCTAAATTTTCATTGAGTTTGAGTCTATGTCCTATATCCTAAACCTTTAACTGTGTGTAATTTTATAAAATTAACATAAATATATTTAATCAGTCAACATTTCATCCAACAAGTTACCTATCACATTACAAATTTACTAATATCTTCCCTATTTTGCAGCCATATAATCGATATAATGTCCCGACTGATGCAGGAGGCCATCAACGACTTGGCCAAGAACTGGGTCTTCATCCCGTCTCAGTACTACGAACGCAACCATTAAGTGCTCCCGCCGTTAACTAAATGCATTGCCCCACCACCGATTCGCCTGCAATCCATACCCGTTTCCCTGGTTTTTTTGGTCGGTTAATGCAATCCATTCCATTTTGGGTTGTCTACACCGCAAAATTTATGTAAGATTTTGCATGAGTTGAGAACCAACGCCTTTGCCTTCCGTTACGAACATTCTGCCCAATTTATGTGTCTGTATGCACGTTTTCCACGTAGACAGAGGGCGTGACAGGGGGTCATTTCACGCGAGAATGTGTTTTCGGCCCTTACTTTTAGTTTGTGTGGGTAGTTTTCCAAGTGGTCAAATGGTTGCCTTTTCAGTTTCATATGCTCCCATGTAACCTGACACTTTTCTTATGAATCGATTCTAGTTTCTTGGTTAGTTCTTTTAAAATTGATTGATCAATTAATTACTGAAAGCTGGGCTCAACAATGTTGGTTCAATCTAAAACTATTAGTCCATCCTAATTAAATTTGGACTCATACATAAGATTTATTTGATCTCGCAATGAGCCTCGCAATGAGCCTCGAAAAAAGCCAAGGAATGACCCCCGCACTTAGCCTCTTAATGAGCCTTGCAATAAGCCTCTCAAAGAGACCGCCAAAAGGCCTGGCAAAAATGATCGCAATAAGACTTAAAGGATCTGAATTATCCTGGCAATTAGTATGGCTAAAAACATCGAAATAAGCCTAGGAAAAGCATTGAAATAAGCCTGACAATAAGCCTTGCAATGAGCCTCACAATAAGCCCGGTAATAGGCCTGGCAAAAAGACTAATACTAATTCTGGAAATAAGCCTGGCAATAAGCCCAGAATAAGCCTAGCAATAAGCCAGCTATAAGCCGAACAGTAATCTAAGTAAACGCATAGGAAAGAGGATAGCAGATAAGCAAAGTCAAATATTTATTTCATTTATAAAAACGATTTTTTCAAATATACTAATTACTCTTAAGGCTAAAGGATATAATAGATTCGTCAAAAATATGTAAAAGGAAGCGTTTCATACGTTTTCGTTTGAACTCTTTCATCTCGGAAAAGAGAAAAGCTACCGGCACGCCGAAAATTATTTAATATGATGATTAATCATTTTACGCACGTATTTAGTACCCAGTAGATAAAAGTAAAAAGGTTAAAATGTAAAAATGTAAGGTATTCTTATTGTGAAGTTTGATAGCTATAAGTATCTGACAGTCGAGGGACTTGTCTATAGCGTTCTCTCTTGTTTCGAATAGTCTTATAATTACTTAGTTCTTTGCAAAATTAACCTTCCTTCAGTGTTAAATATTTATAATGCTGCAATCAGTAACCGGTACCGGTCACTTTTATCCGTTTTTCTTATTGGCAATATTTATAATGCTGCAATCAGTAACTGGTACCGGTCACTGTTATCCGTTTTTATTGTTATTTATCCGATACACGCTCGCCAGTTAGCGCAGGCACTTTTTTTTTCTATAGCGGTGACAGCATCCTGTAACCCGATACACCTACCTGGCATTTCAGGGTGACCGTTTTAAATAGTTTTGGTATATTTGAAAATACGAAGTAGGTATGAAGAGTATATTTGTTGGAGCCGGACGGCATAATTTATCGATAATTCCGCTGTCCATCTCTAACCGCGTCACTTTTTATTTTAAAAATTGCAAACCAAACGTAAATTTGAGCATTCAAACGTAACCCAATTGTGATAAAAACCAAGAAGCGCAGGCCAAAGAAGCATTTGCAGAGATTATCAAGAGAGCAGCATTCGTTGGCAATTGGAAGTTTCGAGATTCGAGGAAGCCGCCTTCGCCGTTCCAAAAAAGAGACGCCGAATTCCGCAGCGCCCACTCTACATTCGCAACCGCATTCCTGAGCAATTCCAGGAAACACCAGGTGCCGGCACGATGAGCAAGGATATTTACTACTCGGACAAGTACTACGACGAGCAGTTCGAGTACAGGTTAGTAGTGCCCTGGTAATTGGGTCAAGCGAGGCAACTGTAAATTACCCTCCTTCTCCCCACCCCGCAGACATGTGGTTTTGCCCAAGGAACTGGTCAAAATGGTGCCCAAGACCCATCTGATGACGGAGGCCGAGTGGCGATCCATTGGCGTACAGCAGTCGCGCGGCTGGATCCACTACATGATCCACAAACCGGAGCCCCACATCCTGCTCTTTCGGCGCCCCAAAACGGATTAGCCGCAGCAGATACTACGCATACACACTTCTATAGCACATAGCACATACCTATATATCCGGCAGCTGCTGCCGATATTTTGTATTTTGTATTGGCGGCGGTGGTGGTTGCTGCGGAACAACCAACTGTTGCACAAACATCAACAACAACAACAACATCATTATCATCATAGGTACTCATTACGTACGAATCCCTCTAGAAACTACTACTAATTCTTATGCCGTGTGCTTTGTAATACTCTTATTTTACCATGTTTGCCCCGCTATCAACATCCTTACCTCCTACCTATAGATATAGCACCTAGAGCTAGAGCTAAGATTGCCATTTTCATACACCTCAGGCCTGGGAGATAACACTGAGGTGGTATTCCTGAACCATTCCCTGAACTCCCACACATTTTACCATATTTTATGTTGCCATTTCGAAACGGAAGCGAAAATAAGAATTTTGCTCACTTTTTATAAGTTTTAATGAAATCTGATTTGTGATCTTGAAATTCTTAATCAATAATACATATGTTTACACATAATATAATGAACTTAAAATAAATATGTTTAATGTATGGAGAAGCTTGAGGCGTTGATTGCTTGAAGTTTTCCCAAATCGATCAAAATTACCTGTTTCACTTATTGAGTTGGGTACAGATGGTTTAAGCAAAATCGTCACAGAACTTGAGATGTACCATCGAAAACTATATGAATGGACTTATTTTATAGAGGAGTAAGTTGATTGTATGGTTTTAATCATCAGTAAGCTTTATACTTCATTTAATTTTAGGAAATCAATGAACCCGGTCTAAACACAGAGGTATCTGATAAATCGTTGGCGATTTAAGACCAGGCTACAATTTGTTATAACATTATAGGTAAGTAAGAAATGGAATTTCCTTATCAAAGTGGCCAAATTTTAAAAATATTACTGTGAAGCTATATTTTGTTAGTTTTTGTATATATACATATTTATCAACAGTTGTATCCTAGTTGCACAAGATGTTATTTTTGACATATAGCTCTAATTCCCAAGATGGAAGATGCCTGTATTTCTTCCTACTAAACTATAAACTTAAAACCCTACAGCTGATTTCAACTCTATTGTTTCTTAGGCCCCCTGGCAAAGGCTCATCCTCATTACAAGATACTTTCTGACTTAACTTGGGACCACAAACACCGACGAGTATCTAATTATTTAGTTATTTATATACCACAACATAGCAACACGATTGGCGTGCAATTTCCATCCACAACTTTGTGGGCTGGTGTGTGATTTCTGAAATTTCCAGTGTCAAAAATGAAGATCGACAGTTCCGGTCCGAATGTGTGTGTCGTGCCCAGGGCAGCACCTCACCTCTCCACATGAGAAAGCGGTGACCCATCCGAAGGGGCCGATCAAGTGGGCCGGGGAGACCGCATCCCCGGCTGCCACGTTTAGGGACTACGGCAATCGCTGTCAACTGAGGCCCGCCACTTAGCAGCATCCCATCCTCCGGCCTGCTCTTCCGCAGTTAGAGCATACCACACTCATTTCCCACCAGCATGGAACTGGAACTGGCCCCCAAGGCAAATCGAATTGAAGCAGATCAAAGGCAGCTGCAGCTGTGATGATGCTGCTGCTGATTTTTATTGCTTTATTTCTGCTGCTGATATTTATTGTGGTACGAATATGAAACCGGAAACGCTCGACTAACATTCTTTCGGTCAGCCTAGGACCCGGACCCACTTTCTTGCTGGTTCCCTTGGATTCCTGGCCATTGTATTGCCAGCACACTCAATCAGGTTCAAGTAGTCCATGGTTATGGCCATTGTTCCCGCTTTTTCGGGGTGGTTTGTCACGATCATTTCAGCATTTATGAGGTGTAATCATAGCTGCGATTGGGTAATGCACAAACTTGACCCACTTATAGGGCGAGCATGTTGTGACATAATAACAAACCAGATCTAAAAAGAATCTTGCTTTCTTTTATCCACCACAGAGCAAGACCTTGAAGTGCCCGGAAAATCCTCTGATTGCCATTCAACACAATGCGAGGATGATCAGTTCAGTTACCGCACAATGCTGCAACTAATGGGAAGGAAGTAATCGAAAGTGGGTACGCCAAGATACTGAGCTACTGTAATGAGTTCCTTTCACTGCACTCCTTGCAGCAAGGGAAAGCGAAACAAGGCGCTACAAATTACGCGGCCAACGCTGCGTATGCGTTACGTGGAATGCGATGAGCCGAGAGCAGCGCAGTCGGCAGAGGCAGCAGCTTTTGATGAATGAAAGTCAACCCTCGAGCACACACACCCGCTACACTGATGCCAACGCCGACGTCGCTGCCACCGAGCAATTTGCGCGGTAGCTGGCTATATTTCGAATTTGATTTCGATTTAGTTTCTAGTACTGTTTTACAAACCGACGAGTCAGGTTCTACTGCCGCTGCTAGCAGAGCCGACCAGACCAGATCGGGATAAGAATCGGAATCGGTGTGTGGGATCACTGCCTGATCAGTAGTCAGAGTCTATATCGCCGCGTGCTCGGGACAACGCGCTCCTCCGATCCTCCGCCACTCGACTCGGGCTCGTGCCTGAAGGGTTCTTCAATCCGTCGGGAGTTTTACCCAGCCAGCGGCTCATGTGAATGCTTTTGATTGTAAGTGCTCGGATGATTGCTAGCAGATGAATACTATTAAACTATATATCCGCAATTGGAAAGAAAATAGACATGACAGACATTTTATCTGAAACAGAAACGTCCGTGCTTTAAATATTATTTTGTGAAATCCTTCAAAAGACTAATTATCATACATTTATGGTTCTTTTTTCAACTTTTGCATTTGTTTCTAAGTGAGTGTCAAGAGGGAACAATTTGTTGACCGCATACAATGATGCAGCTGATTTACTACCCTGTAACTAGTAAATTGATGGTTTGATGGGATACTTACTAATTTTGAAAATAATATTGTGTTGAATGATGTTTGTTAGAAAACTACGACATTCAATTGATTTTTTTAAGAACTTGAATGTAAAACATGGTCAACATTAATAACATATTATTTCGGCCATTAAAATTCTAAATTTAAAGAGACATGTTGCCAATATTCTTACAAAGGATAAGATGCCTTCTGTTCATCCATCCATGTTATTTACATGTCATCGTATCGATTAACTCTTCTTAAGAGCCGAGAGAGAAGCGTGAATAATTTCCGATTTATAATGCTGATAAGACTCTGAATAACCTCGCAACCTTGGTAGACATCCCACCCAATTTGCATAGGCGGAGGCGTCAGACGGTTTTTGTATTTTTCGCTTTCTTTTTCTTATTTTTAGCGCACAATGAATATTTGCTCGATGCACCGAAAATAGTTTTATCTGTCCTCTCGCGATAATGATGAGAAAAGACTGCGACTAGTAAACACATAAGTTTAAGGAGATGCATTATTATTAAGCCGTAATATGGCCAAAATTTATGATCTTTCTTTGCGCCTCGCCAATTTTCTCACCTAAATAAAGCACGATTAAAAACTGGCTCGTGAAAAATAACTCAAAAAGTTCGCAAGAAATGAACATTCGAATCGTGAATGAATCAGTTTGATCTTAACTGTAGTTTATGATAACCCACGTGCTGCTTGCGCTTTTAACTCTTCGTTTTGCGGAACCATAGTCATTTTGATAAGGTAAAAATTGATGGAAATGCCGACCTACAGTTTTGAGATAGTCAGACATTCAGTCTATAGATTATGGCAACAATGAC